GTCAGACCTCGTATGAGAGAAAGACAAATGCCCAATGGAGAAATGAACAAACAGCAGGAAAAGGCAATTTATGGAACAGGAAACACAAATGTTTAACAAACACAAAGATGCTCAACACTACTGGATGTGGCTTAACATAAATTAAAAGCACAATGAGATGCCAATTCACAGCCGTATGGTCGGCAAAAGTGTAAAGTCTTACGGGCCAACTGCAGAAAAGACAGTAGACAAGAAAGGAGACTTCCTGGCATCGATGTAGCACTGTCATAGCGCGAGATGCACATACCCACAGCCTTGCCATCTTGCTTCCAGGGAAACGTCACACACCAACCCAGGAGTCCACTGATGTTCACAGCAGAATTGTCTGTAGTGCAAACATTATGGACCACTTAGATGTTCATTAACAGGAGATTGGATAGATACACTTTGATAAATTACTATGATGGAATATTATTTACCAGGAAAAACAACTGAACTAGAACCCTAAGTTAAACATTTGTCAACACACTGCTGGTGGGGGTTGTGCCCCTCAAATCCTAAATCCCGTGGGGAAGACGGGAGCTGAGTGACCCTAAATGGCCTCAGAACAGGAGCTAGGATGTCTGTGGGGATGACCCAGGGAGATGCATTTAGGCCGAGGAAGGGTTTTCTCAGGACCAGGCCAGCTAGAGCTGGAAGAAGCTGCCGTCCAAGGGAATGAGCTCCCGGTCCTTGGAGGTATGTGAGCAGAGACTGAGTGGCTGCTTTGTGGGCAGTGAACCAAGGATTGTGTCTCAGTGGTTCGAGGACAGGTAGCTTTGTGACTCCAGCATGTCTCGAGGCCTCGTGGTTCTGTGATTCAGTGAGTTTGCAAAGTATGCTCAAAAGAGGATGGGACCAAATGAATAATCAAACGTGACACATCCTGGTGATGGACACTGCTCACAAATAAAGGACACAGACTGTGTGTACGTGCAACAATGGGTACGAGTCTCAAAAATGTGCTGTGCCTAAGAGCCTTGCATGAGATGCCCCATACTGAGTGACTCCATTAATGTGAAATTCTAGAAAATTCAAGTAAGCTGTAGTGGCAGAAGGCAGATCAGAGCTTGTGTGTGAGTTGGGTGACAGGGTGGAGGTGGGGAGAAACAGAGGGAGAGGAGGATTGCACAGGGGTGGGAGGAAATTTCCAAGGTGATGGAGATGTTCTGTGATATTCTGTATCTTGATTGTGGAGGAGGTTTCATGGGTATATATATCTGAGGGAATGAATGGAATTTTACTCTAAATGGATACAATTTATTGTATGCAAATTATATCTCAATATAGATACTTGGTAAAAAAAAATTTATTTTTTAGAAAGGAAAGGGCCGAGTTTGGTAGCTCATGGCTATAATTCTAGCACTTGGGAGACCAAAGCAGGAGGATTATTTGAGGCTAGGAGTTTGGTATAAATTTGGGCAACATAGTGAGGCCCCATCTCTAGAAAAAGAAAAAATAGCTCGGTGAGATTTTGCACCTATAGTGCAGCTCATCAGGAGGCTGAGGTGGGAGGATCAATTGAGCCCAGGAATTTGAAGTTACAGTGAGCTATGATGATGCCACTTCTCTCTAGCCTGGGTGACAGAGTGAGATGTGTCTCTTAAAAAAAAAAAAACAAAACAGAGAGAGAGAAGAAAAAGGTAAGGAGGGAAGGATGGAAAAGAAAAGAAAAGAAAGAAGGTGAAGAGAACTAGACCAGAAGGGTCAGGGCGGCTGCATCATGACCATGGCCTAGGTCGTGTGAACTTGGGCCTCAATTTCTCCACCCACGAACAGAGGAATTGAACAAGGAGACCTAGATCCCCTTTCAGTGTAGTGGCATGGCGTATCACTTTGGGCAATTTAGTGAGCTTCTATGTGCCTCGGTTTCCTCATTTGTAAAATGGGAACAGAGGAGCGTCCGGCAGTCCTGTGCTTGGAGCAGTATTTGTCACACCGGAGCGCTCAGGGATTGCTACTGTCCTTCTAGACTACATCCACCTGCTGCTGCTGTCAGAGCTGCCTTACTGCCTCCCCTTGCCATCCTGCTCACCAGGGCCTGTCCACAAAACCCCAGGACCACTGCAGATGGAGGATATTCCGACAGAGTGGCTCCAGGGTTCCCATGTCATTCTCAGTGCCGGTTACAAAGCTCTTCAGGGCAAGCTCTCTATTCTTCTGTGTATCCACCGCAGTACCGAGCACAGAGATAGGTTCAGACAGTGTATAATTGATGTGTGCAGAATGAAGGAAGGAGTCGATGGCTGTAAGTCAGAGAGATTTTTTTCCTGGGCTGTCCTGGAGAAGTGGTTTCTTGGGATGGAACAGTTTTAGTACCACCATGGCCATGTACAGTCGGGCAGGTTGTGTACTGCACAAAAAGCTCCTTCCTAGGAGGGACAAAACTCAGTGTGTATGCTACTTCCCAAGTCATGGGACCATACCCATTGTATTCCCAGAGATGTTGCATCTCATTTCTTTCTTCCTTCTTTTTTTTAAAAAATAAATGTTTTTTTCTGGAATAATTTTATTTATTTATTTATTTTTACTTTTTTCAAAATAATATGAGGGTCCAATTTTTAGGTTACATTGTTCTCACTTCCAGGGTAAAGTTCCATTTGTAGAAGAGCCTCTCTCCCAGGGGGCATGTTATACACCCTCACAATGTGCCCGTTAGGTGAGATCCCACCTCCTGCCCCTCCCTCTTCTGCCAATCGTCCTTCTCTCTCCCTCTGCCCTCTACCCCCTGAACTAGACTCTAATAGTGTTTTAACGTTCTTATGAGCATGTAATTGTTTATATGTTGATTTCATATTAGTATGGAGTACCTTGGCTATTTATCTTCCCATTCTTGTGACACTTTACTAAGAAGAAAGTATTTCAGCTCCATCTAGGTAAATGTAAAAGTTGTAAAGCCTCCATCTTTTTTAATGGCTGAGTAGTATTCCATGGTACATATATACACCACAGTTTGTTGATCTTTATTCTGGAATAATCTTAGATTTACAGAAAAGTTGCAAAGCTAGTAATAGAGTTCACATATATCTTTCCTCCTTCAGTTTTCCCTTGTTAATATCATTTACATCACCACAGTACATTTGTGAAAACTAAGAAATTAATCTTGGTACAAGACTTGTACAATTCAGATTTGACATGGAGCTCACTCCTTTTCCCACTAATGTTCTCTTCTAAAGCTAACTTAATTGTTTGACTTAAGAAGGGGCATCTATATGTGAAACATTTGCTTTTTTCCCTTCAAGGGATGAATTGGTTTTTGAAAAACTTATTTCATTTCTCTATTTATAACTGACACTGTAATTGTCCATATTCATGGAGCGCAGCGCTACATCTCAGCGCATGTGTACACGATGTCATGATCAAATTGGGGTAATTGCTGCATCTGTCGCTTGAAACATTTATCATTTCTTTTGTGGTGACAACTCGGAAAATCTTCTCTTCTAGCTAGCTTGAGACTTACACCATGTTGTTAGTCTTCCTGCTGTGTGACACAACATCTTCCTGTCCCTAACTCCATGGATGCTCTTTTTCTGTTCCAGGATCCAGTCCAGGACACCTGCTGCATTTTTTTTTTTTTTAGATTAATACAGAAGATGCCCCCAGGGCTGGTAGTGGATGGGGAATGAATTAGCGTGTAGAGGAGTATCCGGAATAAAGTCCTCGGGTGGCTTGTGAGGGTGGGATCCCCAGGGAGGTCATGGCCTCCTGGCTTCCCTGACTTGGGTAGGAGCCTCCAAGGGTTTCCTGCTGTCTCAGCTGAGCCTATGCAAAGCACAGGGGGAAAACGTTGTTTGCTGGTGGCTTTATTAGTCGACTTGTCCTTGTCGGAGCAGGCTCTTGATGAAGCTGCATTTTTGTGAACCCAGTAGTTCTGGTGAACTGCTCTGGGAAGTTCAGCCTCCGGGTGCCTGGTGAGAACACTGGGCTCTGTGGCCGGCAGCCCTCAGCCTCCTGTGCCCTCCTGTGGGTTTCCTGGCCTGTTCTGAGGGACAAGTCCAGTGTGAGTGACCAGGGGCTCTGCCCCTCCCCTGCCCCTGCTCTCTGGAGTTGGAAAGATGCTGGGGCTGAGGAGTGATAGCCATGGACGGTGACCTTGGAGCCAGCCCAGGAGATGTGACTCTCCCCATCACTGCAGAACTGAAGCTCTGTCCCCTAGATAGCAGCTTGGGTGCCGGAAGAACTTGGAGTCACCTGCCCCTGGGGTTGATTTCAGGTTGGGTGCTCTCAGTGAGTCAACTGACTTCTCAGCTCCTCAGATTCTGTATCAGTGAAATGGGTCACGGTCCTAGTTGCAGGGAGCCTGGTCTCGCAGCACTGCTCAGATGGGCGTGGTTCGTGTGGGCACTGCCCCCACTTCCCTTCAATCTGCCCTTCTCCATCAGCTGACCCCACCTCTCCTTCCTGCCTCATCACCCCATCCCCCGACTCAGGCCTTACCTGGGCTAGCCTCCCTGTCTTCCCTCATGCAGTCCCCCTAACTTGAGTGCCCTCTCTTAGACACCAACTTGCAAGGGTCAGCTTGAATGCCACCTTGCAAGCCGTAGCTCTCTGAGGGTGACTCTGAGGTTCTCTCTCTGCAGGTCCCCTGAGGCCCCATCACTTCCTGTCTCATGAGGCCATACTTTTCCCTCCCCAAAGAATATAAATTCTAGGGACAGATTGTGTCTTTTGCATCCTGAAATCACCAGCACCAGCACTGTGCCTGGCACACAGTAGGTGCTCATTAAATGCTATGCTTAGAATCAAGAAGAAGAGAATTCTTGAAACTCTCAAGTTCTTGGAGAACAACCTCTGAGCCTGCCCCACAGACAGGAAGTGAGTCTGTAGCTGCAAGGGCCCAGGTCTCCTTCTGGAGGGCCCCCCACCCCTGCAGGTGCCCAAGGGGATGGTAGGGCCCAGCCCAGCACCCGAGGCCCCCCCCAGCTGCTCTGCAGGCCGCTTGCCCCGCCCTTTGTAAAGACCGTGGGGGCAGCAGCTTGGGCAAGTTCCCCTTCCGCTTCCTCCTGCCTCCTGCCCCATTGCTGCTACTCCTCAGACGGGCTTCTCCCGCCTCTCCACACCCCTGGTGCCTGCAGACACGCTCCTGGCCCTGAGCTGTCACCGCTGCCACCCTCCAGGCTCCAGAAACCATGCAGGCCATCAAATGTGTGGTGGTGGGAGATGGGTAGGTACCTGGCTGGACTTCCTCACAGCCCCTACTGGATGCTCTGGGACCTTCCCACCCTGGCAGCCTTGGGAAGCTCTCTGCCCTGCAGATGGAGGAAGCCCCTGCCCAGTGGATATAGGTGTCCCTGGGAGGCAGCAGTGAGGCATGCCTTCCTTCTCCCAGGGCCCAGAGGGAGCACCCTGGGGGGAGCTGGGGACAGTTTACTCTCTTTAGCCCACCCCATCCCAGGAGCCACCTGGGTGGAGGGTTGTAGGACTGTGAGTGTGATGCCTAGAGTCCCTTGCCTATAACTCAAAAGCTGGTAGCAGGTCTCCCAAGGAGATGAGCCTCGGTCTTTCACTCTGGACGCAGGTGCAGAGTAGGAAATCAAAAACCGGGCCTTTCCCCAGACTGACCTGGGCTCTAGGGATGGGCTTGGTGCTGCCGTATGGCCTTGGGCAAGTCACAGCACCTCTCTGAGCCTCAGCTTGGCCATCTGAGAAGAGGCCTATTCTGCTATTGTTGCTGTGGGGTCACTTGAGATATGCTGAGTGTCTATCTTGCTTGTAATGTGTGCTCAATAAATGTCACTTTGCCGTCCTTCCCTGCCTCTTTCCTGCCTTTTCCTTTCCCTCAGTGCTGGCTTGGGGACCTATGCAGGGATGTGCAGGGAGCAGAGGGGGAGGGAGCCACTGAGAGGCAGAACTAGGGAGGGAGGAGGGCGGGAGGGTGACTGCGGGGTCCAGGCTGGGCTGAGGCCCCTCCCCAGTTGTCAGAGCTCTGGGACCTCAGGCTGTCCTGTTCTGTTTGTGCCTCGGTTTCTTCATCTGTGAAATGATAGGTCCAATCTGTCAATCTGGTGCCTACCAGGAAGAACGTAGGGTCCTGCCCACAGGCCCACCCTGGGGTTTTCTGGAAGCCCATCCCTGCGTGTTCTAGCCAGGCAGGGCTTCTCATCCAGCTCTCCCATTGTATAGAGGGGCAGCCTGAGGCTTTGAGAGGCTCAGATCTCTCTCCTGGCCTGGGTCCCAGTGGCCCCGTCTCTGGCTCTGAACCCACCTTGGTCAGGCAGGCACTTTATCAAGCAGCCCTCAGCTGACTGTGCTGCATGGCTGTGATCTGCCACCCACCACTTGCTCTCTTCCGCTTTGTATGTGGTGGTGGAGGGAGGACGGAAGTAAGGGTAATGTTCTAGCCTTTCAAAGTTACCTTGGTGGCAGGGCCCTGGGGAGGGCATAGAGGAGAGGGAGGGTGAGCCGGGCCCTCGGAGCAGGAAGTGACAAAACCAAGCAGGGGGAGGGGGCCCAGAGCTGCCTCTCTGGTCACTGGGCTTTCCCGCCAGCCACCTGTGCCCCTGCCCAGCCAGCCTGGCAGGCCGAGGACAGAACAGCACAAATAACGATGATGGTCGCTTACTTGTTGCTTCCCATGTATCTGGCACTGGGCTTAGCCCCACCGTTCCATTTTATCCTCCCACCAACCCTAACTGAGATAAGGTCCATTTTACAGGTGGGAAAACTGAAGCTCAGAGAAATAACCTCACGGGGTTTGAACCCAGGCCTCTCTAAGCTGCTCTGCTCTGTGATAGGCAGGGGGAGAGCAGGGGCAGACCTTCCCTCACTGTCACTAGCAGCCGTGACACACCCATGCACTGAGCTCAGGGCTTTGACAGGCATTGTCTGATTTACCTCCTAGCCCACTCCTGCAAGGAAAGACTCATCCCCATTTTCTAGATGGAGAAACTGAGGCAAGGGAGTTTGTGCCCCTGGGTAGGTGGTGGATCTGGGATTTGAAGCCCAGGAATATGATGGTAGAGCCCAGCTTGGCACTAAGGGCCCCACGGCATTGTCTAAATGCTAACCCCTCTGTCCCATGTCACCTGGGCAAGCTTGTTAAAAATGCAGATTCCCAGTTCTGCCCACACCCATGGATCAGAATCTTGGGTCAGACCCTGAAGTCTTACAGGCTCTCAAGTTTGAGAATGCAGACATGGGGAGGCCCAGTGATCTGAGCTTGGGCAGATGCTGAGTCTTCCCACTGGGAAGTGGGCTCTTAGCAACCTCCCAGGCCCCACGCAAACCCATGACCTCCTGTGCTTTCTGTCTTTCAGAGCCGTGGGCAAGACCTGCCTTCTCATCAGCTACACCACCAATGCCTTCCCGGGAGAGTACATCCCCACTGTGTGAGTTCCTGGGTAGGGGTGTGTGCTTTCAGGAGGGGAGAGACTGTGCCAAGTTAAGCCCCTTTCCAGGCACTTCCCACGGTCCAAGCCAGTGTGGGCATTTGGGAGTCAGGTCAGAGCCACAATCTTCAGTCTGGTGGCTCTGCCTGATGATCCAGGGGTTGGGGAGGGGGAAAAATGCTGAGGGCTCTCAGAGCATCCTGGGAGTCGGGATGTGGAAGGGGTGAAGGGTTGGCAGTGGGCCTTAAGTGGGGCTTCTAAGAAAGGGAGGTGAAGGTGAGGGCTTGGACAGGGCAGGGGTGGGAGATACCCCTGGAGAAGTGGAGGAGAAGGGTGGCTGGATGAGGAGGTCATCTAGAGGGCCTGATTCCAAGGAGCATAGACACCAAGGGACAGGTGTGTGAGGCTGCAGAGAATCGCCCTCTGCAGGCCCAGCTGAGGCCCTACCCTCTGTTGTGGGGCCTGGAGGCTGGGCTGTCACCTGGCATGGTGGGAGGAATGTGTCAGCAGCAGACACAGGAGAGGAGTATGACTGGGGAGGCACCAGCCCCTCCCTAGCCAGACCTCAGTGCCCCCATCACCCCCAGAACAACTCCCTGGCCTGCACACTAGGGCACACTAGGGCCTGCACGATCTTTCCTCAATCTTCCCCCTGGCTCCATCACATCACTCGCTGCTTTGTTTTTTAGGCTGTCTGCTTCCTGCCCTTGCTGTTTGCACACACATTACCTGGGCATGTCTTTTCTCCTTCCCTCCCTCCCTCCCTCCCTCCCTC